CCATCTCTGCCAGCTGGGCCAGGAAGTCCCTGTAGATAAAAATCATAAGCACCCCCCATATTAGCCCTTGTCACAGTATCCTCTGACCCACAGACCTGGCGGGGGAAATCACTACACTGGGACACAAATTGAAACAGGGGCACATCTATCCCAAATAAGGTGGAGCAAGACCGGAACTTGGATGGAAAAATCTGGAAACATCTAGCCTGTGGTGAAGTCTGTTATGAATTACATTACGGCCTTGTACCTGCCTGAGACAACAGGTGGATGCATACTTAAAATTATGCTGAACTTCTTATTGAAAGTTGCAGTGAAGACTAGAGCATTTTGTATATCCCTAAATAGTGCTTAAAAAATTAATGCTGTTTTTATAGAGCAGGATAATTTACAAGAACTACCGTATTTTTTGGACCATAAGACTCACTTTTTCTTCCAAAAAAAGTGGGAGGAAAAGTGAGTGCGTCTTATGGACCGAAGGTTCAGAATATTTTTTTCCCCTGTTTTCCTCCTTTAAAAACTAGGTCAGGTGCGTCTTATGGTCCGAAAAATACGGTATCTAAGTAGGCTATTTTTTGTTCTCATCCAGGAAGGGAAATTTCATGTAGAACCAAAGAAAGGGTTTTCAGCATCTTATTGACTGTCTTACACAGTATTTTGCCAGTCCTTAATTTTGTTCTTTGTTCAACTGCAATAATCCAAGGTTTAGTTGTAGAGACCTACCCTATCTCCTCTTGGGCCTGGATCTCCTTTAGGACCCTGCCAGGTAAGAAGAGAATTGTGATTAGACTATTATTGCCCAGAGAACAAAACTAATCTATACAAAGAAATGAAAGTTAGGTTTATGGGGAAAAAGAAGCCATTTACCTCTACACCTTCATTGCCTGTGTAAACAGGAGAGGTATCTTAAACAAAGAAACAAAAAGGTCCGTTAATATTCAAAAGTTGTTATTATCATCTGCAGCCACTGACGAACCTCTGCAAAAGCCACGTAATACCACCTGTGCTATTGGAGCATCAAATTAGATTAACAAATAGTAATAATCCTTGAGAGAGCAGGCTTCTTTTCCTGTGGAATCCAGGAATGAGGAGCTCTCAATATGAGCCTAATTAGAAGATGCCTTGTGCTAATCTGAGGAACAGTTTTCACATCAACCAAACTGCTTAGGCATTTCCATTTGAAATATTTACATTTCAAAGGAAGGAAATGGTGTCCGGTTGACTCCAGTGCCTCCATTTTAGTGTCATGTTAAAATTAAGGAAACTTTGATGGAATAATAATAATAATAATATCCTGAAAAAAAATGACCGACAGTCTCTTAAAATTGTTCTAGGGTCCCAAAACCTTGCCTTCCCCATTAATCCACAGCATGCACTTGACAGACACCATAATATTTACACAAATACTGATATTTGCCAATCCAAATGGTATAGTCATAAAAGAGATGTGGACTGTGGCCTTAGATCGGGGCGGTGGTTTGTTATTGTTGCGCTGGCGATGAAAACAAGGCCTCGGATCACTAGCTGCATGAGGAATGGGTTGGTGGGGGAATGGGAGGTGTCGGCTAGCTGACCAGATTAGAAAATGATAGACGAATAATAGGTGTGCGTCTAGAGAGATAATTGGGTGCGCATGTAGATGCTATTGGTTGGGTGGATAAAATTGGAAGGGAAGAAAGTGTGGAAGAAGGATCAGATATGGCTGGATGCTTGGGCAGGTTAGGAGATGTCAGATCGTTAGCTGAGCGGATCGGGGAGGGTTCTCCAGCCAAGCCATCCGAGCAACGGCTTGGAGTGGCACAGTGAGCAGAATGCTGATGTATCACTGGGCTCAGCTGACCCCTGGCCATCAGTGGTGTGGGCACCACTTCCTGTTCCTACACTGCTGCCAGTCAGATCTGCGCTCCACCCTTCTGGCAATGCCACAGGGACTCGGCTCAGACCTGGTGGGTAGTGGTGCAGGAGGAGGCAGTGGGCTTCCATTGCATGGGTCAAGGCCCTGAAATGATTCCAGGTGACTTAATGGAATCAGCTGGAATAGACTAGAATATAATAGATAAGAAGGGTGAGGGTTACGTGGGTGGGAAGGAAATCCTTGGACAGCTAGCTAGGAGCAAGGAAGGATATTACGAAACAGGTGGAACAGTGGACAGGTCAATAGGTAGGCTGGTAGGTGGTGGGACAAACGGATAGGAGGTGGCAGGAGACAGGGTAATGAAGTGAGTACCGGTATCGGGGCAAACTGGACAGCATTCTCCAAAGGGGATCTCAGCGTTGGGACAGTCGGCTGTATCTTCACAAATCACTTCATCGCAAAGGATGTTGCCGTCGTCGCACACACATATCTGGCAGTCTCCAGGTTTCCAAACATCTTTGTCGTTGTACGTTACTCCATCCTGTATGCAGGTCACAGATGGAACTGAAGAAACGAGAAAAGGAAACAAGGTAGTCAAGCAAGGAGGCAAAGATCCGGCCGGGAGCCAGACCTGACAGCCGAGCAGAGAGCATACGGGAGAATCTCTGACGATGGATCAACCAGGGGCAGAAATGTTTCTCAAAGAATTTGGGTTCGATCCTTCCCTCTCTCCTCTTCCCTTTTTACTTCACGAGGAGAGATACTTTGGTTGTTGTTGTTATTCCAGATTGTCATCTGCTTTTCATCAAGCCAACTCTATGACACAGGAAATGAGCCAGACCCACAATAACTCTTTCCAGTTGCTTTGGAATTTAAACAAAAACCTCTGGCCAGTTGTTACATCCAACTGGTAACCTCAGCGTTCTGGAGCTGAAGCCAAACCAAACACGAAAGAAAAAAGAGAGAAAGAAGTTAACAGCCTTATGAAAAGATTCTGGAAGGGGGGAAAGGAAGGAGATAAAGAGGAGAGAGAGAGAATGTCAGGAGTCAGGAATTTAGACTGAAGGAGGACCCATGGAGGGGAAGGAAATGTATTCTGCCCAGGGCCCGTGGCCTTGAGAGATTGGTTCCGGTGCAGACAATTTAGGAAGGGAGGGAAGTCAGCAGGTGTTAAATATAAGTCAGAAGTCAAGTGGCCTTGGTCTGTCACCTTGGTTGAAATCCTATCCCAGTTTGTTCAGAAACCAATGCATTTAGTAGCGCCAAGGATGTTAAATGGAACAGACCTGAAGGATGCTAACAAGAAGAGGAACACCAAAGGCTGATGATTGAGAGGATTTAGGGATTCCCTGCCACCTCCTCCACCACCACCACTGTAAATGTTTTAAAATGGGAATATGAGTTCTGCATTTAAGAATTATTTCTCCAGGTATAGGACTTAATTCTCATTACAAAATGAGCAATGGGCTATAGAAGTAAGTTTTCCCGTAAAGCCATTAGGCAGCTGTTTTACTTATTGCAAAGAGGGGAGAAAGCCATCTATTACAGGGGAGGGGGGATGATAAAATAATAGCGGATGGGATTTTGGAACTTGGAACTACTGCCTCTTAGAATCGTTGCAGGAAAACAGCAGATCCCCCACTAGATGGCAGCAAGACCACTGGAGACAAAATCTCACATCACAAAAGTCTTCAGCTGTTGGTAGAGTGTATTTTTTCTATTTCCCCCCAGTTAGAGGATGTTCGCTTTTTAGTTGTTGACCCCGGAATAGACTCCTTTTGATCAGTACTGACCCATTTCAAGGCCACTCCCCGCATCCCCTCCCCTCCCTGCCTTCTGACCAATGCAACAGGGAAAGGGTGAGTCCATTAGTGGCCACTAGATGTCGCCTTTGGACTTGATGGAGGAAACCATCCCTCCGAATCCCGAACATCCAACAGGCTTTGTCTATGAAGTGATGTCTAGACTTTTGTGCTTTATTGGTTGCTCAAACATTTTTCCTTATGACTCATCTTGAAGCTCCCCCCCCCTTAATAATTGCCTGATGATTTTTGCAGACTTCTTTAGCAAGGCAGGGAAAATGGGCTTGTCCCACAACTATTCTCCTCCTCCTCCTCCTCCTCCTGCTCCTGCTCCTGCTCCTCGCAGCCATTGCTTTCCAAGAATACACAATGACTTTCCCATCATCTGCAACTTCTCCTCTTTCCCGCTCCCTTCCAATCACAACCCACTCCCTCCCCTCCCTGGTTTTCTGAACTTGGCAAAGAATTGCAGAAATTCTAATTCATCCAACTTGTTGCTTTGCCCCAAGGGACATGTTTAGAAAAGAGGAGGGAGGGAGGGAGGGAGGGGAAGAGAGAGAAACACGCCCAAGGCTATGTGCAGCTGGTTAAGTTTGGGTTTTGGAAGGTTATTTCGTTTCTCCATAGAGCACTTGCAAAGAGCAAGGAGGAAGAAACGCTTGCATTTTCTCATCTCTGCTGTCTCCTTTCTCCCCCTGCCTTCATGCCAACCGCAGAAGCTTCAGAAAGGTCACGAACATCTGGTGACCTCTCTCCTTGAACAGGATTCTCAAGACCATATCTTAAGAAGGAGCTCTTTCTTGTCCTGTCCTTATATCTACATATCCCGAGACAGGGGTGCATGTCACTGAAATACCATTACAGTGATAACTCCCCCCCCCCCCCTGGTTGACGGTCACTTGACAACCTCTGGATTTCCACAACTTGAGGAAAAACAGGTTTCGTCCTTCAGGAAGAGACCGGAAAAGCAAGCAAGGGGAAAAGGTCAGTCCTCCCCTCTCCCCTTCTCAAACCGACTACAATAAACACTGTTATTTAGCACATGCATAGCGGCCAGAGTTGCATAAGTTCCTGTACTTACTGTCTTCTTCGCCTTGGCCTTTGGTGAGTAGAACAGTTGCTGCTATCAAAAGCAGTAACCGGGAATCCACAAAGCTGAACATGTCTAAATATTAGACATGAAGACTCTTTGTATCCTTGGTTCTGCTTTAGAGTCCAGTCATACAGGGATGGTGTGATTTATGTAGTTCCACTCCAGACCCCAGCAGAAACTTCCTACTGACTCTGTCAAGTTCTTAGGCTCCCTTTTTATACGGTCCAGTGTCCCAGAGGTGGATCCCTTCTTTGCTGGCTTCAGAGGGTTGCAGGGGGGGAGATCTTGGGCCAGCCCCTCGGCCAATCAGAGCAGTTCAGCCTACCCCAAGACACACACTCAGACACACACACACACGTACCCCCTCCCCCCCAAAAAAGTGGAGAATCAAAGCCAACCCCCTTTCTAACCAATCACAAAAGCATGGACCCTGTTCATCTTCCTTCTCCAAACCAGTGCATCCTCTGAGTTGGCAGTACAGTGTGCGTGAAGAGGGAGGAATGTAATGGGGAATGGAGGAAGGTATGGGGTGGTTCAAAGAAAAGGGAAAATACTGTTGTTGTTTTTTAAAGAATATTAGGAAGGTTGGAAGGGGTTGTTGCAAAACCTGAATGTTACATTGCTTGCAAGAGCAGGGAGCTGTAAGGTGGAATTCTCAATCCCTGCCTGATTTAGAAAAGGCACCTGTACAGGTGAGGCAGCAGAGGGTGGTATAGAGCAAACTGTATGTGGGGCTCAGTCTTGTCTTAACATACAAAGTGAAAACTTCGGGAACCTTGCGAACTTTCCGTTCGGTGTCAGCAAAGACTTTGTTGCCATCGGCTTTAATTTTATGTATCCAGCCCTCATCATCTTTCTCTTTTTCTCTCTGGAAAAAAAAGCTATAATGACTAATTTAAAGCAGAGGAATGTAAATCGAGGCACCATTAAGGCACGGCTTAGAGTAGGATGTACTGAAAGAGAAGAAGAGCTGGCTCGAAGCAGCCGATAACAGATGTTTAAAAATAGGGGCAGTCATTGGTAAGTAGAATACCAGCACTGCTCAGCTCAGTGGCTCCGGTGCATGTACAGAGTTCCTTGATTTTCAAAGGCTTTCCTGCTCATCCCTCCCTCCGTATGCACAGGAGCTCCATCTGTGAGTCACAGCACACATGGGGCTCTGGATCAGAATACCTGTTGCTTACTGCTTGGAAAGAAAAGTTTGGAAGCTGATCTTTTTGCTGACATTCTTGGTTCAACACATTTATGTGGAAATTCCATATATTCGCTTCCACATCTTGGGCTCAGTATTGGAGTGACAGGCTACGATTTTTGACCACATTTCAAATCATAGCGTATAAGTCTCTGAAACAGCGACACGTCGGCATACTTCAATGTAGCTTGAGGTTTAGATGACTCTTTGCGTAATTCAAAGACACTTTCTTGAGCGCAAGCCCCATTGAAAAGACCCTGCGAGAGATTCAGAATTGATGTGCTTAGGATGGTACTATCATCGCTACAACCTTCCCTTTGTTACCACTCCTTCCACCATAAAAGTACACTTACTCGATGCACATTTCTTTGTATTATAGTCAGTGTTGAAGGTTGCCTGGCTAAAAGGATACATATAGGATTGCAAAGGGGGGGGGGAGAAGAAGCATTTGCATATGCAAGTAACAGGACAATTCTTTATAAGTTATAATGCATAAAATTGTGGGGTTTTTTGTCCTAGAAAGGAACGTGACCCTTAATACTGCCTCCCCTTTGTTTGTGTGGATGTGTGTGCAAAATACTAAGAAAACCATAAGGGGTTTCCCCCCCTCTTTCCTAATGGATAAAATCAGAAAATTGTCCCCAGACTCTGATTTGTAGCACCAACTATGAAAAAACCAACTTAACGGAACTTTAATCCAGTTATTTCACAGAGGTGTATACAGGTAAGCTTTAAGTCCCTAAGGTTAAAAATGTTTTGCAAATTCAAACGAAAATGCTGTGAGAGCACAGTAGGGAAAAATCACACACTCTCTCCCTGATGGACCTCAAGGGCCTATCCTTTTCTTTTCCTTTTTCTTAAAGTTGGCAGGACTCCATGGCTGTTCCAGAGCATGAAGAGCCACGTTGGTTGGAAAAGAAAGAGCATCAGGACAACGTACAAGTTACTGTGCAATTTTTAGAAGCTGCAATTACTGGTGTGTGTGTTCTTCATATAGATATGTATGCCTCGACCAGGCCATGGTAAACCATGCCCCTCAGCCTAAAATGAGGGACAAACAGCTTGGGAAGGAAAGAGCAGAGGACACACAATGAGGAACAATAAGGTCTCCATGAAAAAAATGAAGCAACAAAACTCAAACGTTAGACCAAAAAAATGCATTTGTATGAACTTGTTTTCAGAAGAACTGAGTGGCTGCAGGATTTGAGACCCCTCTTCTTGCTCATCAAACAACATAGGGGAGCTCAGGTTTCTATCTGCAAATGCTGCGCTCTTTGCTGGGTCGCAGCACAGTGGAGCCCAGCAGACTTTAGGGATGATTGTAAGACCGACTCAGCAAAAACATGGGTTTCCCCAATGGGCCAAAGAGCACCTCTGGGACCATTTCTGTTTGGGAAGAAGGTGCAGGGCAAGGGGGAGGCTGAAGACACTTCTCCACACGTGCCTTCCTGAAGCATACGGAACACCTCTCACATGGGAACTGAGAACCTTTCTCTTAGGTCTGATTCTTACATAAGGTGGGGAGCCCAGACCCAACCTGTGTACTCCTTCATGTGTGAGTAGGTTTGACCCAGCAAGGTCTTCAGAGATCAGCATCATTTGGAAAACATATCCTACCTGGTGGAACGAGCTCCCGGAGGAGACCCGGGCCCTGCGGGACCTTGCACAGTTCTGCAGGGCCTGCAAGACGGAGCTCTTCCGCCAGGAGTTTGAGTAGGAGCCACCACTACTGTACTATCATCTTTTGGCCCTGGAAGAAAGAACAACAGCGCCAAGTGGAACAGATGGCACTGAGTGGATATAACAGCATTATACGTCATCTTTATGGAAGATCAATGCGGAACATCCAGAGCACTTAATAATAATGTCGTAATATTGTAGAAATTGTTTTTAAATGGTTTTTAAATATGTTTTGTGCGCTGGCTTATGCCTGATTGTGAGCTGCCCTGAGCCCGTGTCGCGGGGAGGGAGGGCTATAAATTGAACTTATAAATAAATATATAAAATAAATAATTATGAGCAGCATCCTACATGCTACTTGCTCTGCTTGAAGAAATTGATTGTGGAAGATGGAGCTCTCACGACGACAAGGGTTTCTAACTCTGGGTTGGGAAATTCTTGGAGATTCGGGGGCAGTGCCTAGGGAGGGCAGAGCTTCGGGACGGGAGGAAACCCAGTGGCAATATGATGCCATGGAATCTGCCTTCTGGAGCTGTCATTTCTTCCAGGGGAACTGATTTCGGCTGTCTGGAGATCAGCTGAAGTTCTGGGAGAACTCCAGGTCCCACCTTGAGGTTGGTAACCTAACAGTGACACACCGCAGAAGGGACACGAACAAAATTCTAACAAAATTAAGTGCTCATAAGCAATGCTCCCTCTGAGCTGTGGAGTCTTGTAAGCAAAAATTCTACATTGTGAGCTACTGGCATTAAAGTTGTGGGTGAGCGATTTGGCTACTGCATAAATCGCTTTGCTCTCGAGGCTTCCTTCCTGAGCTGAGACAAAAAAGTGTGAGCCAGAGGCTAAAAAACTGTGAGCTAGCTCTCACTAACTCAGCTTAGAGGGAACACTGCTCGTAAGCCATCCCCAGACGGTAATACCGTACAATGGTACCCCAGAACAAAGGTGGAGAGAAAGATGCTAAGAGGACCTATCTGTCTGTGTCTCTGTGTATATATGATCTCCCCGGTTAATACCCCCAGCCCAGCCCAACCGGCAGTCTCTTCTCCCAGTGAGGCAAGTTGAAAGGCCTCTGCGTGAGACCCTGCAGAGCTGATGCCAGTCAGAATGGACAATATTGACTTTGGTAGGCCCACGGTCTGACTCAGGAGAAGGCAGTGATGTGAGTAAACTAGTGTGGTTTTGTTACCCCCCCCCCCCCCAGTGTAATAGAACCAGTTTCTCCTCTGATGGGCATGATCATCTTGACTCCATTCCCTTTCTCCAAGGAGCTTTCCCTGAGGGTTATCCTTGCAACAACCGTGTCAGGTCGGGATGTTCACAGGACCGCTGTTGTGTTGCATGGCCACAAGTCAGGGAACTGGAAAGGGCCTTTTCCTCCCAGGGTGGTTTTGCCCTGACAGCAGGAAGCCTGTCAAGCAGACTGCAAAGTCTGAGCAAGCATTCACCCCCACCGGCTTTGGGAGATGACGACGTGTGGCATGCAGGGACTGAATGAGCTGCATGGATATTGCAAGAAATACTGCGTGGCTGTGCCTTCAGAGGATACGGGAGACAATTCCTGAACCGATAAACCTCAGGTTCCTGTGTGCTTTCGCCGTATGGGTGTGATCATGTCCTCTAGCCTGTGGTGAAAACACACATAATTTGAACACGGGAGGAATGGCAGTTTACACAATGCCATTAACACTCGGGAAGACCCGTGTCCATTTAAAACGATTCTTTGTTGCTTTTTCAGTACACTGACCGGGCCTGTTACCTGTCGGTCCATCCTCTGGGTGATATCCTATTATTAAAGATACTCGATCCCTGTCCCTGCCTCAGTAAGCATTGAGTGCCACGTGTTCCCTTCCAGCTCCCCTTTCCAAAGTGGGGTTTTGCAAAAGATCAGAATCAGCTGCTCTGCTTTCTCATTCATAGAAATGAGCCAAGGGGGGGAGGGAAATTAGGCATTTCTAAGTTCTTAAAGAGCCAGGGCGGTCACACTACATCCAAGATCCGGGTTCAGGTTGGGCCACTCTCTGTCTCGGCGTAACCTACCTTATAGGGTTGTTGTGCAGCAAAATAGGGAGGAGGGGATGTATGCTGCCCTGAGCTCTTTGGAGAAAGGGTGGAGGAAAGGTGTATTCATTATTTCTTTCCCACCCTTTTCTCATCATGAAACTTTGTGCTGTTTAAATGGTGTTCCCGGACAGGTTCTGATCCAGAGCATCAGTTTGGCTGTTATATCATGGGCTTGCCAGCTGTTCCCTTGGTCCCTTTCTTAATCTCTTTCCTGTTGGCCTCCCCATCTTCCAGATATCG